ATAATTGTTGGAAAAAGGAAGCAGAAAAATCGGGCAATTTTGATAGGATCTAAGCTGGTTTCTTTCTGGATCTCTTTAACTGCTGGATCCCTCAACATTTGGAACTTGGCCAAAAGAGGGTCATGTGCCTTGGGGGTTCAGCATCATTAAGCTATGCGGTATTTTATTTTGGCAAAAGTGGTTCAACGGAGACGGGATTTTGCTTTCTGTCCTGGATTGCTGTATGAGAAACGATGCCTGAAGTTCAAACTTTTGAGGAGAGAATTTCTCTCCCGCTGTCCTTAAACGTGGCACCATCCAACAATACTTTGGGGTCCTTGGGGATGTTTCAAAGTGGCCCTCTGGGATATCCAAGGGCAGGAAATTTCGGGGGGACGAACCCATTTATTTAGGTATGACTTCTATTAAATTTGGAGAGCAGCCCAACTCCCAATAACTCTGGGTGGCTTATTGTATGGGGAATGGGGATTTTGCGGTATCCTTCCCCCAGGAGTGGGGAGGGAATGGGGATTGGCTAAATCCACATCAGACGGTTGGGAGGGGATTCTAACTTCTTTTATTCCTATTGTATTGCCTTAAGGACCCCAGATCCTGCTTTGCTTTCGCCCACTATCACTTCTTTCTCAATAAAAGGATCCTTTTGAAATGCAAAATTTCAAGAGTCTTTACTTCCTTGATTAAGGGGGAGAGGCCTGGCTTTACAGGTAGCCCAAGGGTGGGTGGGTGTGAAGAGAACTTGCAAATGTGCTGGCAGATAAGCAGGTGTGTTGCTTTGCCAGCCGGCTGCAAGAATAAGAGAAAATGAGGGAGGTGGAGGGCCATATCGCAGGGCACACTGGCCCCAGCAGCAGCTGCAACAGGAGCCTCTCCAAAGAGGGTGTGTGGGAGGAAAATATATACACACAGTCTCAACTTCGGCATCAGGTTTCCAAGGGCTCAAAAAAGATTGCAAAATCCAAATATGAAGGGGGCAGTATTGGAGGGGATTTCCCCCTCTGCTGTAGTTTTCCAAAGGTCCTTCAGAAAGGAGGAGCAAAGAGAAAGGAGAAGCTGGATCCAGGGAGGGAGGGGCTGGTAAGGCAGCTAGAGGTGGGGAGGGGCCGGCTGACTCAACCCTGCTTACTGTCTCTGGGACGTATTTTGCAGTTATCGCTCATGAGTTTGATATATTGCCCCCAAAATTACAGGTAGTACTAACAGGTAGTACTTGGCAAGAAATGGCAGTGTTGATTTTTATTTTACCCTGACATTAGACTCAAGTTCCTTCAAATGTTGCAAAGTCAGAAGATATAAATGATATAAAAGATATATACGTGGGCCCCGTCCCCAAACTGGCCATCACCCCCCACCCCCCCAGTGGTGGGGCCAGCACCTCAGGCTCCCAGAACTGAATTCCTTATTTCCATTGAGAGGAATGCATGACATTTATACAAGCGCACGCAGACAATAACATAGAAGCCAATAAAGACTCTACCAGCTGCTCCCAATGCAGCATCTTCCCGCTTGTCTGGAACTGTAGAAGGCCTCCTGAATGTCTCTGGAGATTCTCCGTCATCCAGGTCATGGTTGTCCCAAAGGTGCTTTTTCAAGAAGCAGCTGGACTTTCTGGTTTTCCTTTGAAGGTATTTCGCTTCTCATCCAAGAAGCTTCTTCATTTCTGACTGGAGATACTTGTACAATGAGCACAGGAGCCCCCAGGGCTGTGTGCTCTCGCCACTTCTCTCTCTACACCAAGGGCTGCATCTCAAAAGATCCCTCTGTTAAAGTACTGAAGTTTGCAGATGACACAACAGTGACTGGTCTCATTCGAGACGACAATGGATCTGCATACAGTCCGGAGGTTGAACAACTAGCCTTGTGGTGCAACCAGAACAATCTTGAACTAAATGCACTCAAAACCGTAGAAATGGTGGTAGATTTTAGGAGAAACCCTCCTATACTTCCACCCCTTACAATACTAGACAGTAGAGACTTCAGCCACGGCACACTTGCTCCAATTAGGCACTGAGTGGGATGACTATTTACAGGCAACTTATGAAGAGTATTAAGAGATTTCCTTTAATGAAAAGAAGGAATCCAGGACACAGAATCGGGTTTCATTTTATACTCCATGAAGTAGAAAAAGTACAAAATAAGAGTTGATTGCATTGAAGAAATCAGGGTCGATAAAAATAGATTTAAAAAGATAAAAATAAAAAATCAGATTTTAAAAAATTTAAATCAGATTTTTTTGGTCATTTTTTATCAAATTTATTTTAATAAAATACTTTTGGGGTAAAAATCTAGCTAAAGATAATTTTCTACTCAAGATACATTAATAATGTAGTTTATTCATCTTGAAATGGAGCTTGCTTGTGTAGCATGAAGCTGTATATTCTGCAATATTTAAATTTCTGGTAAACTCATTCAATGAATCCAAGCTCTGCAAGCGGAGATAACACGGACTGCACTGATACATTCACACAATTCCACAGTAACCATGGGATAAATCATAAAGCGCAGGAATATTCCTTTATCCCATTCTTTTGCAAATCTATGTAGACTACAAACTCTATGATTGTGGGAAGAGAAATGCATCTGTACCACCAGGCTCCCAGTGTGAGGAGAAAGGGCAAGCAATAAAAATGGAAGTGAAGCCTTCTAAGCAGCTTATAAATGTATTAAAGAGCACCTGTCATTTCAGATCCATCAGGGCAGCACCTGCTAGCGGGCATCCACTCACCTCCTGCCAGCCACGACCCTCACCGAGCTGTGTCCCTGCCGCATCACCAGCCATCCCTTGAAAGTGAACGGGACTGTGGGTGAGTCAACAGCGGGTCTGAGGAGGAGACACTGCGGGACAGAGATGAGGGTTGCTCTTTAAAAAGTATGATATAAAAAGGTGATTTAAATCAAGCCTTCTTAATAGTGATTTGTATCATCATTTAAATCGACATGATTTAAATCAATTCCAACCTGGAAGAAATCATCCAGCTCAGTTAGTTACATCAGAGACATGGACAGGAACATCCCATAATATTAAGGATAACCACTGAAATGAGCCTTGCATTAAAAGAACATTCACATGGGAAATGGCACCAGGAGTCTCTGTTGTGAAAAGGTACAATTTCAGCCAGTTGACAATCTAGCATGTACAATTGAAACAGTCCTTTAATTCAGCCTGAAAAGGTCCCTTATTTGGCAGTTATTATTTAACCTTATGTCTTCTTTACCCAATTGAAGTAAAGATAAATAATTCCTCTTATTGGAATTATAATTATTATCACGAATATCATTATTCTGTTGCTTTCTAGATACACTGAGGGCTGATGCACTTGAGACAAACATTTTATTAATGTTTTTTAAAGAGGGTACAGAAAGAAATGATACATATATTCAGTGCAGTGGTGGGTTTCAAATTTTTTTACTACCAGTTCTGTGGGTGTGGCTTTGGTGGGCATGGCATGGCACAGTGGGGTGTGGCTTGATAGGCATGGCAGGGGAAGGATACTACAAAATCCCCATTTATTCCCTTATCAGCTTGGACTCGGGAGGCAGAGAATAGATGGGGCGGGGCCAGTCAGAGGTGGTATTTACCGGTTTCTCCCAAAACTACTCAAAAATTCCGCTACGGGTTCTCCAGAACTGGTCAGAACCTGCTGCAACCCACCTCTGATTCAGTGTCAGTAAACAAATGATGAAATGTTAAATACACTGATTGCTTATGAAGTTTGAACAACAGAAACCCTTGATTCTAGATAACATCCCACAAGAGACAAATTCATGGGTTGCATTAGTCCAGAGGAGCCAAAGTATCCAGTGCAGGATACTAATCTACATATAAGCGAAAACCACTCACGCATTAATCACGAAATCTCCAGAACCGTAAAGCCTACAAGCTTGAAATTTGCCACCTATGTTCCTCTTGGCTTCTAGGTGCTCACTAAGAAAGGATTTTTTGAAACGACCATCAGAGCATTAGTATTTCCTATATTATTATAACACGCTCTGATGCTAATTAGTTAGACGTTCAACTCCCCCTCCCCAACTTGAAAATAACTCTGGAGGGAATGGGATAGCATAGGAGAGGCTTCTGTGGGGAAAGCCTCATGGAGAGAAGCAGCTAGAAAGCCTGAGGGAGAGAAGCGGAGAGGCTTCTATGGGGAAGCCTGAGGGAGAAAAGGGATAGGAGCAGATCTATGGAAGGCCTGAGGAGAAAAGGGGATAGGAAGGAGGGGATCTATGGGGCCAGCCTGAGGGAGAGAAGGGAAAGGTATCTATGGGGAGGCCTGAGGAGTAAAGGGGATCGGAAGGAGGGGATCTTTGGGGCCAGCCTGAGGGAGAGAAGGGGAGAGGAGATGACAGGAGAGGCTTCTGGGGGACCAGCCTGAGGGAGAGAAGGGGAAAGCCTAGTAATGGGGGACTCTCGCTATCCTGACAACTGGGGAAAACCTAGTCTCTGCACCTAGTGGGAGATCAAAGAGGTCCCCAATGGGTCTGATTCATTTGAAAAATTCTTATAACTGCCCATCTTTCAGTCAACTCAGTTGCAGCTCCCAAAACCGTTTTAAAAATAAAGAAAAACCTGGGGCCAATCCATGCCACCTTCTCCTTGTCTCATCTCCCAGCACCTGGGGAAGAGCCAGGTGTTTAAGGCTAAAAGAGTGGAGGCTTTTTAAGAATATGGCTCATATCTCACAAAGCTTCCTTGGCCTTAGAGAGTCTCTTGTAGGGGTTTCTGCTGGAAGACAAGGGGACCATTCAGGGAATCCAACTGAGAGCTTCAGATGCTTGGAGATGGTCTTAATAGGTCCCCACATTTGGGAAATCCACATAGATTATATCAAACAATGGCAGGGAGAAGCTCCTTCCCACCCCCAACAATGAAGGCCAAATGAGCCCTAGATTCAGCCACAGCACACTTGCTCCAATTAGGATCTGAGTGGGATGAGCATTCAAAGGCAATTTATTAAGATATTGTAGCAAAGAGATTTCCCTCAATGAAAAGAAGGAATCCAGGACACAGAATCAGGTTTCATTTTATACTCCAAACAGTAGAAAAAGTACAAAACAACAGTTGATTGCTTAGAAGAAATCAGTGGATAGAAATCAATTTAATTTAAAAAAAAATAGATTTTTTTTATTGAAATCGGTTTTTTATTTTTAGCAAATTCATTTCAATAAAATGCTTTTGATGTAAAAATCTATCTAAAGATGGTTCTATATTTAAGATGTATTAACAATCTAGTTTATTCAGCATGAAATGGAGCTTAGTTATGAAGCATGAAGGGGTATTTTCTGCAATATTTAAATTTCTGGGAAACTCATTCGATGAATCCAAGCTCTGCAAGCTGAGATAACATGCACTGCACTGATACATTCACACAATTTCACAGTAACCATGGGCCTTTTTGCTAGTGATTTACATAATAAATTAAATCGTGATTTAAATCAACCTGATTTAAATGAAATCCACCCTGGAAGAAATCATCTTGCTCAGTTACAGCTACATCAGAGACATGGACAGTAACATCCCATATTACAATAATGAGCCTTGCATTAAAAGAACGTCCAGATGGGAAATGGCATCATGAGTCAGGAAAGTCTGTTGTGAAAAAGTACAATTTCAGCCAGTTAAAACATTTCGTATGTACAATTGAAAAAGCCCTTTATTATTCAGCCTGGGAAAGTCCCTTATTTGGCAGTTATTATTTACCCTTCTTAATATCTTCTTTACTCCGCCCTCATATTGGAATTATTATAATTATCATGAATATCATTATTCTGTTGCTTTGTATGTACACTGAGAGCTTAAGACAAATTCCTAGTGTGCCTATTCACACTTGGCCAGATTTAATGCGCAATTCAATTCAATTCCTGAGATACACTCTGGGACTGAAGGTTTTTCACACTCATGTTTATAATTTTTCTCCCGCATGAATCGATGGAGGCCCCTACACTGAATATAGCTCTTTCCACACTCCAGGTATTAATGTGGTTTTTCTCCCCATGAGTGGATTTTTTGATGTCTTTTAAGGTGTCCTCTCCGACTGAAACACTTTCCACATTTGAGGCATTTATGTGGTTTTTCTCCTGTGTGGACACTTTGGTGTCAACGGAGGCTACTACGCTCAATAAAGCTCTTTCCACACTCCAGGCATTTGTAGGGTTTTTCTCCTGAGTGGATTCTTTGATGTCCGTCAAGGGTTCCTTTCTGACTAAAGCTCTTTCCACACTGCAGACATTTATGCGGTTTTTCTCCTGTGTGAATCATTTTATGTCCATACAGAGTTCCTCTCCTACTGAAACACTTTCCACATTCAAGGCATTTATGTGGTTTTTCTCCTGTGTGGACTCTTTGATGTCGACGGAGGTGTCCACCCTCAGTAAAGCTCTTTCCACACTCCAGGCATTTGTAGGGTTTTTCTCCTGTGTGGATTCTTTGATGGCTATCAAGACTTCCCCTTTGACTGAAGCTCTTTCCACACTCCAGGCATATATTTGGCTTGTGGATTCTTAGATGTTTTTCAAGGATTTGAATTGTTTTGAAGGATTTTTCACATTCCCCACATTCATACTCTTCTTGTAAATGGACTCTTTGATGTCTATAAAGATGTCCCCTCTGACTGAAGCTCTTTCCACACTCCAGGCATTTGTGAGGTTTTTCTACCGAGTGGATTATTAGATGCCTTTGAAGATGGTCGTTTCTTTTGAAGGATTTTTTACATTTTGGGCATTCATACTTTTTTTCTTCTGAATGGATTCTTTCATGTATATCGAAGTTACTCCAATGATGGAAGCTCTTTCCACACTCCAGGCATTTAAATGGTTTCTCTAACGAATGGATTCTTACATGTTTTTCAAGGATTTGAATTGTTTTGAAGGATTTTTCACATTGCCAGCATTGGTACTGGTTTTCTAAATGGAGTCTTTGATGTGAATGGAGATTTTCCCTTTGACGGAAGCTCTTTCCACACTCCAGGCATTTATGAGGTTTTTTTCCTGAGTGGATGCTAAGATGCCTTTGGAGATGATGATTTCTTTTGAAGGATTTTCCACATTCTGGGCATGGATGTTCCTTTGCTTCCTCCTGGATCCTTCGAGGCTTTGGGGGTCTTCCGAAGGAGCCTCCGCCCTCCAGACCCATCTCGGGGTCTCCGCCCATTTCCTCCTCCCCGCATCGCCCTCCAGGCAGCCGCCTTTCCTGGGCTCCTCCTGGGCTCATCCCTCCTGCAGCCCCGGAGCCCCCCGGCCTTTCTCCGCTGTCTCCCGGGGAAGCCGTTCCAGGACCGGTCAGGGCTGCTCTGCGGGGCCCGCTCTCCTCCTCCTCCTGGCGGCGCCTCTTTCCTGCATCCGCTGCCATCCTCCGTCCTCCTGCAGGGGAGAAAGAGAAGAGGGTCACGGCTGCCTCCCCTTCCCCGCAGGGGACGCCCAGGCCCAAGCCCCCGCCTCCCACGGGCCACCCAGGCATTCTCCAGGCGGACACGGCCCCCTCCCAGCCTCCCGTCTCCCTCCCCGCCCGCCCCCCAGACTAGGCCTCGGGCTCCCAGGCCTCCGGAGAGACCCTCCCAGACTTTCAACTCCCAGCATCCCCTGCGCCCAACCTGCATCATCCGCGCTCCTCTGTCGCCGATTCTTGCAGCTCAGTCGTTGCCCGGTTTAGTTCCGGAAGTGGAGGCTTCATGCCCTTTTCTCCACTAGTTCCGCCTGTTCCTTTGGAGGATCTGCCCCACGGAGTCCTCCTGCCAATCGCTGCCCTCCCCAGAGCGACCAATGGACGTCCGCGTTCATTCAATAACCCAGATGGTGACTGCACGGTGCCGAGGACGTGGAAGGGGGGCGGGGCTTCCCTTGAACTTTGGGGTCCGATCTCCCCCTCCCAGCCGCTCTGTATTGAGGCAGGCGGAGATCAGAGGCTCTTCTGTGGCTGCGACCTTATAGCAGTCTATGAAGGGGATCCAGTGATTAAGGCACCGGGTAGAAAGCAAGAGAGCAGAGTTCAAGTTTGAATCAGCCCCACTTTCTGTCTAGCCCACCTCACAGGGTTGTTGTTGGGAGAAAAGAGGAGGAAGGTGTCATCATTGGGAGAAGACCTTGTCTTCTTGCAGGCTTTCTCCTTTGTTTTGTTGCATATGTTCTCCACCTTATTTGTAAAAATAATAAAGGCAGGATCCCAATAAATACATAAACTCACTATGTCTGATGTTTTTAAATAGCAACTACATGGCCTCCATTTGATGCAGGAAAATTCTTGATCCTAGATAGAAGAATTCGGAATTCATGCACAAAAGGAGACCATCTCCAGTTAGAGAGGAGCTAAGGAGGAGAACCTCCTGCCAGTGGTTCCTGCTGGTGAATTTTCTCATAGAAGTCAATAGCTCGTTGTTGGGAAAAAGAAAAGGGGAAATCATGCAATTTTGACAGGATCCAAGTTGGTTTCTTCCTGGGTCTCTCTAACTGCTTTATCCCTCAACATCTGGAACTTGGCCAAAAGAGGGTCATGTGCCTTGGGGGCCATGTCTGCACTTAAGCAGAAATAATGGGGGGAGCTCACCTGGGATGATGGAACAAAACACAAAACAGCACGGCAACACAAAGGGAATGTGATGGGAAGTTGACCCGAGCTACATTAATGTGTAGAGCTTCCTTTGGCAGAGGCAGTCTACATCCAAAGATCTGCATTTTGTGCAAAAAGATGAGAAATGGGCAGCTTGAGTGATTTGTCTGGTTGCCTCCTAAAGGCATTTGCCTGGCATTGGAATGAAAAGGTGGAGCAGGTGAGGTTTGATAGGCACCTGTCATCTCCTTGGGAATTCTGATGGCTTTATGAGCTCATCCATGCAGGCTAAACTGCCAGTTACTGTCAGTTGTCAGAGTGAAGATGCCTTCAAGAGGTTAGTCAGTCTTCAGAAGAGCTCCTGGACTCTGGGAAATCTTCCCTCTATTTGCAGCCAATTTATCAAGAATTGTATTGCAAGGACGAAAACGCTCATTTGGCCTCTTAGGAAAGGGAAGCAGAGAGAAAATGAGAACACCCAGCTGTTTTTCCTGTTACTTTTAATTATTGGTTGATGAATTTAAATCACGTCTTAATCTCCAAACTCAGGCACCAAGTTTGTTGTGGAGCTAAAAAGGACTTGAGATCCTGAATTTGAAACTTTTACCTTTGCAAATGTGTTTCTTTGCCCACCTGAAAATACAGATCATCAGTTAATTCAAGCAAAGCAAAAACATTCATGTTTTTAAAGAGGGTACAGAAAGAAATGATACATGTATTCAGTGTCAGTAAACAAATGATGTGTAAGGATCGCCTCTCCTTCCAACTTAAGAAAGTACGAACTCTTGAAACGTAGTTGTTCAAAAGGATTCTTTTATTAAGCAGAAGTGAAAACCATCCAGTTAAAGCACAATCTGAATGCCCTTAGGCAAAGCAGTAGGATTAAAGTGGTAGAGACCCCTCCCTTTAGGTCAGAATGCGGATTTCAGCCAATACACAAGTGTGAAGATGTTTTCTTTACTATTTCCTTTGAGAACCCGAACACACATGCATTCCCACCACTTCCCTTTAAAGTGAGACAACCCACATGGCTATCATATAAATTCCTGCAGGTAAAAGGAATCTCAGGCTTCCTTGGCGCCAGGATATAGGTTGTAAAATATCTGATGACACAGGCCATGCTAGTAAATCGAATCCACATCCCCCCTTCCTTCACTTGAATGGCAGTATCACTTTTAGGGATCTGACATGCTACCCTCCTTAGAAAACAAAAGGGTCCACCTGTAAAAAAACAAAAACAAATATACACAAGATTTCATGATAGTAGATCAACAAGGTTTGTTAGGGTGTTGGGAGTGAAATTTTCTCAGTAAGATCGGAGCCCTAACGTGGTGTTTGGCGACCCATTCATTGTGTGCTGATGGTAGATGTTTCCAAGCAACTAAGTATTGGACTTTCCCTCTGTGGATCCTAGAATCAAGGATTTCCTTGATTTCAAAGTGTTGTTCACCTTCAATCATGATGGGAACGGGTGGTGTAGATGCAGGTGGTCTGAGGGATGAGATTACTTCTCGTTTGAGTAAACTGATATGGAATACTGGGTGGATCTGCCTGAGTGTCTTTGGAAGAAGTAGTTCAACTGCTACTGGATTGATGATTCTAGTGATGGGGAAAGGTCCAGTGAACTTTGGCCCTAGTTTCTTTGATGGTTGTAATGATTTCAAGAATTTTGTAGATAAGTATACTCTGTCTCCAATATGAAAAGGTTTGGGTTCCATCCTTTTCTTGTCAGCTTGAATCTTAAAAGCTTCTCTAGCTTCCTGTAAGGCGAATCTAACCACTGGCCACGTGTTTCGCAAATTATCCATCCACTCCTTAAGTGAGGGGATGGTGGGTTCTTCTGTGGGTAGTTCAGGCATGGGGCTGAAATCCTGGCCTGTTGCTACTCTAAAAGGGGTAAAACCAGTGCTTGAATGGACAGCATTATTAAACGCAACTTCAGCAAAAGGCAAAAGTTCGGTCCAGTTATCCTGTTGAAAATTAATGAAACATCTTAAAATATTGTTCTAGTACCGAGTTCAAAATTTCAGAATTACCATTAGTACAAGGATGAAAGGATGTGCTCAACCCCTGGCCAATACCAAGTAAGCCCAAAAACGCCCTCCAAAAGTTGGAGGTGAATTGAGCCCCTCTGTCGGAGATGATCCTTTGTGGAGCACCATGAAGTCGATAAATGTGTATTAGGAATAATTTGGCTAAACTTTTAGCAGTTGGGATCTTTTGGCAGGGTATAAAATGTGCCTGTTTTGAAAATAGGTCTGTCACAACCCAAATAACAGTATTTCCCTCACTATTTGGCAATTCCACGATGAAATCCATAGCAATCTCTCTCCAAGGCGCTGCAGGTTCAGCTACCTTCTGCAATAGACCTGGGGATTTCCCCTGGCGTCTTTTTGCTGCTGCACAAATGGGGCAGCTGCTACATAGCTTTCTATGTCCTTTTTTAGTGATGGCCACCAAAATTGTCTTTTAATCAGGTGTAAAGTTTTCACAAACCCAAAATGTCCAGCTAATTTGGAGTCATGGCACTGTACCATTAAGTATAGTCTTTGGCTTGCAGGGACATACAACTTCCCCCCCACCCAAGCCAAGTCTTCTTTCATCAGACAGCTGGATTTGTTGTTCAAAAACCATTCATCAGTGGCCAATGCTTGTTTAAAATTTTGGGTGATGTCATTGTCTGTCACTGTTTCTTGTTTTTTCCTGGGATCTGGTGACTACTTTAGCGGCTAGTTGACTGTTTTGTACTATAGGTTTGATTACGTCTGACCTTGCACGAATGTATTGCGGTTTTCTGGATAGCGCATCCGCAGGAAGTTTTTTTCCCCGGGAGGTATTTTAGAGTAAAATCAAACCGTTTAAAGTACTGAGCCCATCATACTTGTTTTGGGGAGAGTTTCCTTGGGGTCTTTAGGGCTTCTAGATTTTTATGATCAGTCCAGACTTCAAAAGGGGTCTTACTGCCTTCTAGGAAGTGCCGCCAGGTTAACAATGCCCAACGAACTGCATACGCCTCTTTCTCCCAAATAGCCCACCTTTGCTCAGTCTCATTCAACTTTTTGGATGTGTAAGGGCAGGGTTGTAGTTGGTCTTGCTCATTCTTCTGAAGCAGGACCTCTCCTATTGCCACATCGCTGGCATCTGCTTGTATGACAAATGGTTTCTCCGTGTCCGGGTGTTGTAGAATTGGTTCTGCTGAGAACAGCCGTTTAAGTTTTTCAAATGCTGCCTGGCATTCCATAGTCCAGTTCAATGGTTGCTTTAGTTTAGGGTTGTCCTCCCCTTTGTTTTTAAGAGCTTGGTGATGGGGAGGGCAATCTGAGCGAATGCAGGGATAAACTGGCGGTAAAAGTTGGCAAACCCCAGGAAGCTCTGTAACTGTTTACGTGTGCGTGGAGGGTCCCAATCAAGTACAGCCTGCACTTTTAGAGGATCCATCTCAACCCCCTGGTGTGAAATGCGGTATCCCAAATAGTCAATCTTCTCTTGATGGAATTCACATTTGGAAAGTTTGGCATAAAGTTTGGCAGCACGGAGTTTGTTTAAAACTGCCCTGACTAGTTTTACATGTTCTGCTTTGGTCTCGGTATAGATTAAAATGTCGTCCAAATAGACCAGAACTTCATGATACAGCACTTCATTTATTAACTGCATAAACACTGCAGGGGCTCCTTGTAACCCAAAGGGGAGCACCTTAAATTGGTAGCAGCCGAGGGGGGTGTTAAATGCTGTTTTCCACTCATCCCCTTCCTTAATTCTGACACAGTAGTAAGCCTCCCTTAAGTCCAGCTTTGAAAAAAATTTCCCTTTAGTGAGG